TGTATACTTATATTTTAGTCATTTTCATAATTTTAATTAATTAAAGTAGCATCTGTGCTATAAAGTCTGTTTATCTTCGACTTACCTGTTAAGTTGTATCGATCACTGCGAGGAGACAAAGACCTGGGTTCCCTTTTCAAAGTGTAATCACAGCTGGCATCTTTTTGTTGAACAAAATGTAGATGTCTCAAAAAATCATCAATTGAGACATAAAACTGGCAGAACCTCTGTTTGGTTTTTGTCCTGCTTTTCTTCCCGACAGCTACTGTGAGGACTGAACGACTTGCTTCTCCAAAGTACAGATTACATCTCGTATCATCTTTCACAGATCCAGGCAGAGAGCAAACAAACCGAACATGTTTCCCATTAAAATGCTGCACACTCATCTGTGGTGTTTGACCTACATGAAGATTAATCAAGTCCCATTAATATACAAGAATATTGTATGTTTTACCAGCACAACAATAACAATACTGGTGTTCATAAAAGCTGAACTGCAACACATTTTGTAATTAACTGTAACTGGTCATGTTTAGATTTCTGTGTGCTGTCTTTGGTGGTGTAAGAAAATGTGTAAGAACAACACTCCTATAAAAGTTTTGTGAAAGAAAACATGAAGCTTTATGAAGATAAATATGTCTAACACACTGTATGATAACTTATCGAGTCACAGGAAGAGCAGTCTCTCACCTTGTATGGTGATGGAGGATGGTTCACTGTCAGCAGACGTTGAATTAAGGTCTTCAGTGTAAAAACATCTCACTTTAACTTCAGCAAGTGAACTGTGATGTGACATTAACAGCAGTTCTGTTGCAGTGAAATTCTGCAGGCATGAGAAGGCTTTGGAAGTATTTTTGCTCACCGTGTAGAAAAAACACTGATGAACTGAAACAGATGTTGGTGCCTGACAGTGTAACGTGACCGAGTCCGTCTCTGAGATCACTGCTGTGTTCACTGTCAGTGTTGGTGGAAGAAGAGCTGAAAAATTAGAGGTAAAGAAATGTTTTATCTAATAGGTAATTTTTGGTTTTAATAAAAAAACAAATATGCAGTCAAAAAAAATCTTTGTGAAAAGTGGAACATGAGGGACTCACCTTGTGCTTGAATTTCATGAACGAAAGCTGTTGGAAAGAAAGTCTGTCAACAACGTACTGGAGGCATGTATGACTCATTAATACAACAAACTGTCTTTTCAAGATCACAGGGAATCGTCCTGCTGAGGAAGTTTTAGTTTTTGATTCCATACGTTAGTTTATCAGTTAAAAATATAAACAAGGAAGCACCAAAAGACACAAAACTGGTTACAAGAGGTTTAACTTACACATGAGGATGACAAACAGAAGGTGTCCAGCCATGATGAAGAAGATTACTGTGACTGTGCAGAACACATGTGAAAGTCTGACTTTGTAAAGGCTGATGTTCCAGTTTAAGGAACTTCACAGGAAAACCACAGCAACAATGAACGTTTTTACACAGCGGCGCAAATGAACATGAACAGCCCTTTGAAACTACTTATGAGTTTTATTTAGATCAAAGAACAAGAAAGGAAGTGAAATAAAGACAAGCATGAGTACATTTGTGTAATTTCTGTTGCCATGGGCTTAGTTTCCCAGATGTCTGTGTGGCAACATGTGGCAGTAAAGAGCTCTAGAGTTTAAATAACAGGGACGCCATCATGGGAATTTAACCAAGAGAATATTTATTTCAAACCAGTAGAAATAACACACAGTTATACTTGATTAGGACCTTAAGAAGTTATTTTACTAATATTCATTTTAAATATTCACACACGTTTGAATCCCAGTTTGGTGTTGTGGTTTTCTTGTAAGCAGAGGTCCAGGGAATTACTTTACCTCGAATGTACATCTCAGTTTTACACACACTGTTACTACAGTGCAGTTCAAACCAGTGCTGCACTGACAACCACTAACCACTGAAGAGAAAGTCTCCACCATTACAGCCCAGCTACGGCCACTTTAGGCCCTCAGCTCTGGTCAAAGCAAAAGCAACAAAAACAAAAAAGTAACCCCTACTGTTCCTAACCCAGATACAAAAGCAGCCTCCTGCCAGTGTCTAACAAATATTTAATAGAATAAAATACAAAAGTGGAAAAGGGTCATTACTTGGATACACTATATGCAAAAAAATAGCTTCAGGAAAAATGCTGTGCAAAAATTTTGAGCCAAACACAGATGGCAATTTGACATTAACCAGGCAGAATATATCCAATTACAAAATGTTGTGCTAACATTGATTAGAACAAAAACACGGTTACAATCTTAACTTGCAGTTTCTGCAGAATACAGTTTGTTCAAGGGACAAAAAACATTTCCAGTACTGACAGAGTGACAGTGGGTATTTGGTGCCATTACTGAAAATAAAATAATAAGCATCATTAATGTGCCTGCAGCATGCTGTAGGTCATGTCCTGTGAGACTGGTGCAGCTGGTTTCTCAGAGATGGTGGCGTATGGATGATAAATATCAAACTAGAAAAGAAAGAACACAGCTGTAAGAGTCATTTACGGCTCGCATCTTCAAAGCCAAATAACAAACATCTTAATTACTGAAACTTTGTCTCACTTACATCTTGCTCTTTCCTTTCTTGTTTATTCAGTTTCTGAGCACCTGCAATTAAGAGAATCACAACCTAAAACTGCTGTTTTAGACAGATACAAAGTGCAAGAAGAACTGAAGTAATACATTTTTGTTCTATTCCTGCGCTTTTTTCTTTAAGAGGACCTGAAACATTGCGATCTTTTGTTGGTGTTTTTCATGCAACAGATAAAAGCAACAATGTAACTGAAAGATTTGCTTTTTCATTGGTGCAACTCTTTATATGATATAGTATTCACTTTGTCATACTTGGAAAGAAACACAGCAACTAAACAACTAAACCTGCAGATAAACTGAGGAATCTATGGGGTGATCGTGGCGATGGTTCGCCTTGTAATCGGAAGGTTGCTGGTTCGAGCCCCAGCTCGGACAGTCTCGGTCATTGTGTCCTTGTCGTTGTCTAGGTCGCAAGACACTTCACCCGTTGCCTACTGGTGGTGGTCAGAGGGCCCGGTGGCGCCAGTGTCCGGCAGCCTCGCCTCTGTCAGTGCGCCCCAGGGTGGCTGTGGCTACAATGTAGCTTGCCATCACCAGTGTGTGAATGTGTGGATGACTGAATGTGTAAAGCGCGTTGGGGTCCTTAGGGACTAGTAAAAGCGCTATATAAATACAGGCCATTTACCATATTGTACATTCTTTATATAGCAGTAGGGACTGCAGGGATTAGGGACACTCAGGGTCCTGCAGCACCCCCTGGTGGATGCTGGATGTTCACAAATATAATTAAAAACTGTGTAGTTGTGTGTTATGTTACAAGGTCTTTGCAGATAAGGTGCTGCCATATTGAACTACTTTTCAAACACGTTTCATCAAACATGCATAACAATGTACAATTTACAACATTTATATAAATATCTATTTTCATATTGCTGTTGAGGTACCCCCAGTTTTCACACATGTCATCCCTTCAACACCCCCTGCCCCCACATAAAACAAGTTCCCACAGCTGTGGTATAATAATATAATTACAATATTGAAATTTGTCTTCACCCTGCACTACAGTGTTTAAGTAGGTGTAAAACAAAAAGGAAAATAAAAATAAATAAATAAATAAAAACAGCTCACCGGTAGCACAGCTGGCATCGGGTATTGAAGTGATCACACTGTAGGCTCCATCATCACCTTCAGGTAACTTTATGCAGCAGGAAAGAGGACATTAAATGAGAAAATCCATTAATAATACATTAAAGTTAACCTACCCTTAAACCTCTTGCATTTCAATTTTTGAACGTTTTGTTATATTAGTGTAGAATTTGACAAACATTTTAGTTCATTTACCATTCTTCCAGGGTCAATATTTGCCATGCACACAAAGTCATCTGCAGCAGTAGGTAAATAATAAAGCTAAGTTAACAAGTGTATAAATACTGTCCTGATATTGTATAAATCAACAACACATTGCTGCTGCAACTGAATGAATTCAATACCTTGGATGCTGGTTCTTGTCCTAAACATAAAAAAGGAAAATTCATTTAAAAATTAAACAAAAATCATATAAATGCTGAATATTCTCCATAGATCCATCATATTACTCTGTTTGGTTAGTACTTTAAAGACTGTTTTTTGATACAGGAAAGTGAATGGACTTTCTGCCCTGAAGTCCCCCACTGCCCCTGAGCAAGGCATTTAATCCACAACTCTTCCAATAATTCTGTCAGTAAGTTTAACTTCTGTCTATACAAGTGATAACAAAAAAATACTTGCTGAAAACAGGTTTCTTGCCTCTTTAGAGAATATCCTTCTGGAATAAACAGCAATAAAGAAGTGACAGTTAGTCTGCTGGGGTCATGTTGGGCATCAGATCAGCTTTACAGTCGTTAATTACAAACTGACAAGCTCTGATTCAGTGAGACGTCTGTGAAACAGAAGAGCCTTTAACAACAAATCTGACTACAAAACTGCTTGTAAGAAGAAGACACTGTAGTCGGTATTAATCCACTGAGCGTGAAATGTTAATATTACACTCTAACTATCATATACATCTGCACACTTTCACATATTAACTGATTGAGATCTCACCAGTTCTTCTTTTAGATCTGAAAACTGCCAGTGCCAATAAGATGGCGCCCACAGTTACACCAGAACCAACGACGACCAACACAACAGTCAGTGTCCCCGTTCCTGTTTAGGAAACCGCAAACACATCTCATCTCTAACTGAAAAGGAGATTAATGTCTGCTCTGATTTCTTATTAACTATTGTCACAAATAATACATCAGTAATTTAATTACCTGATGGTGAGATGACAGAAGTGGTAGAAGTGGAAGCACTGAAACTGCTGAGACTCGATTCTGCTGTAAAAGCACAAAAAATGTTTAAGATCTAAGATTTAAGAAGTGATGTGTGATGATCAGTGTTAATATTCACATGAATTGTATGTCGTACCTGTGGTCAAGGTAAATGATGATTTTGTGTTTGTTTTTCTTGAGACTTCTTCTACAATGTTTAGAATAAAAGCATATTTAAAAACTAAACAAAATAATATATTACACCAAAGCTCCATGTCTCTGCTTTGAGGAGGATTGCATTAATAAAAAAAATCAATAAATTCTGATTAAATAATGCTACAATGCATAAAACCTCAGTAATTTAGTTACCTGATGATACATCCACAGAACTGGTAGAAATGGAAGCCCTGAGTGCCGTGAGACTTGATTCTGCTGCATAAATACACGAAAAATGTTAAAGACTTTTTATAGACTTGACATGTGATTGAGTTATCAAGTCATTTTGAACAAATAATCAAAAGTATTATCACATTAATGACTAACTATTTCTTTCCCAGCAGTATTGTTAGTTAATCAGTTGATCCACTGCTTTGTTCCAAATTCGAATATTTTGTTTATTGTTGTAAATTTAGTGCAGACATAATATGAGTGCAAATGTCTGGAGATGCTGAATAGTTCTTGTCTTTGTGTCCCTCTGGTGGTTATTTTTGTTGTTACACTCGAAACAGTACTTCTAGTTTTCTTGGTCAGCAGTCAAAGGAACAATAATTAAGCTAAGAGAATTTAATGATTACAACTTTTGTTATACAGATAAGAGAAAACATGTAGGCTTTGCTCTGATAAAAATGTGTTGGTTTCTTTATTTTCCCTGTGTTATTTCAGTTTTAGAAATCCCCGTACCTCAGAGGAACAAAATAACAGTAGAGACCAAACAGTAGACAGTCGTAATTATAATAGAAATCAAGTTAATGTAACTTCTGTGCCTGACTGTGTGAGCATGTTCACTATGCGTCTAACTGGGAAACTGATGCTAACTCTGAGGACAGAATTACTTCAGTAAACATTTTGTAATTTTAGCCATAAAAAGAAGAAACTGTTGTCACTCTACTTAGTTCCTCTGCTTTTGCACGAACAGGCTCTTTCTTTACCTGCAGGAAGTTACAAATTTATGATAAAAAAAAACCATTGCTAAATTAATGGCTCAGCTGTTGCTTCATTGAAGCACATTTTAGCAAATGTTTATGCTTACTTTTGAATTTTTGATGCATACATAACAATCTTACCTGTGATCCTGTCTCATGACCTCTGATTTCAAAACATGTGTTTTAACTGCTGAGGTCGCGCTGACTCTGAGGCTGACACTAACAGCCTATTTAAATGTGCTATTAACGATTGTCACACAAAACACATCAGTTACCTGACTTAGACGGTGAGTTCACAGAAGTGGTAGAGGTGGAAGTATTTTGCTGCGGTTTTGCTGCACAAACATGTTTAAGATCATTTTAAGAAGTGGTGTGAAAAAAAGAAGTGATCTGGACTGATATTTAAATGCACTCCATGTCCTACCTGTGGCTGTGGTAGATGTTGACTTTGTGGTGGTCGCTCTTGATTCTGCTTTTCACAACAGAGTAAAAGAAGACAAATAAATCAACATGACATGTTTTTCCTTGCACACAGTCATTTTAAAAGAAGACATTTTAGAACTAAAAACAAATTTACTATCACAGTACTGCAGCATTTCCACCCTAAACGCAAAATAAGTTAATCAGTCATCCCCCACTTTGTTTCAAACTGGAGTATTTGGGGACCTGTTTTAAAATATAAAATTTGTTTTTACCTCCACCTTTACTCTGAGTCTTTACTGAAAATGTTTTATATGTCTGTTAAATATTTATCGTTCTCGTTCTCTGGCGCTTGGTGCCTGTGGTGTTGCACTTACAGTCACATGGACAGA